AATTCTTTGGAAATCATTAAAACAACACTATTACAACAACAAAGACAAGAAAAATGGAGGAGAAGAAGAATTTAACAAATAAAATATTTGCTTATCAATTTGCTGTGACTCTCTGGCTCCCTGCTTCCCATAACCCCATGCGAATTGTTTTTTGCTTTTTGTAATTATTATTTTATTAGATATGGGAAGCATCGGATGGGGGAAGCAGAGGGTACTTGCATTTTTAAGTGCATGCAATTGTTTTTTTTTTTTTTTTTTCATTTTTTTTCGAAGAAGAAGAAAATTTTTCGTTGCTTTGTTCGGCACATTGTCTGTTTGCTATTAATTAGCCAAGCGGATACGGTAGTATTCACAGCGTTCCATTACAGGTGGGATTAATAGGTTTTTGGTACTGGCGTTTGGTGTTGCTGTTGTTGTTGCCGTTGTAACTTATGTAACCGTAAATGAACTCTAACACTTGGCTCACATGACGGTGATGATGATCATCGGAGGGGGGAAATAACGAACATCGACGTCCAACAAATCAAAGTGAATTTTAGAAAACAAAAGTAAAGGGAGGAGGAAGATATTGAAATGTGCCCCATAGCAACGGAGATCTTTGATGCTATTGTTGTTGTTTTTGGTATTTCCAAAGAAATACAAATTACATTGCAATCTCATGTTTGCCATAGCTTTGCTTTGGTTGTTTCTAAAATTAGTTTCGATGTTAATCGTTTTTTTTTTTTTTGGTTTTTAGAAGTGCTGGGAAGTGGAAGGAGGGTGGGGCGTACATGTCTGGCGGATATTTATTTTAACAATCTCTTAGTTACTCATCGTTGCAGCGAAAATTATTAGATATTGTGAAATCGTCTATTTTTTCCATAAAATACAAAAAGACTATAAAACGGAAAGGTTTGGAATATGTTGGCAGAGAACATAACCCAGCAGAGATATCGCACAGCAGAAGAAAAAGGGAATATTGATTTTTCAAAAAAAAAAAAAAATAAAAAATAAGAAGGGCTATTGGTGGAGGAGGTATTCGAAGAATTACATAAATGTCATCGTCAAACTTGGTAAAAATATTACCATCCATTTGATTTGCATTCCTCTTGTGAGATTATAAAAATTTCAAAATTTTGATTACTTTCTAGCTGTATAGGTCAAGATCTTAGGGAAGATTAGGTAACCCCTGCTTTTGGTTGAAATTATAAAGGCCTAGACCAAATTCATTCTCAACTTTTTTTCAAAGTTTGGGTACAAAATCACAATTTGCAAAATTTCGAGTTCGAACTTGGACTTCCTTTTATGAGGTTAATGTTTTTCAGAATTTTGCTTCGTTTGGAGCAATATTTCGCATTATCTCAGGGCAAAATAGGAGGACACCTTTCGCTTTATACATACAGGGTGAGATGGAAAAAACTGCAATCAACTTCAGACTGCTGTCATTTCTAAGCAACTCGTCCGAAAGCTGTTAAAATTATTCCAGTCACAGCTCATTATATTGTTTACAAGCCTACAAAAGCATGTTGGTAAGAATTTTCCAGAAAAAAAGTTATTCGTGGTGGAATTCAAGCGTGATAGTGTGATTTCTTTCTATTTGGCTGGAAAACCACAAGTGGCTATCGTTAGAGCACTCCAACATTTAAATGTGAATAAATATTTTGTGTCTCGTACCATTGCTCGTTACCGTGATACTGGTAGCGTAGACCGAGGTCAAGGAAGTGGACGGAAGAAAACAACGAAATCAGCAGAAATGATTCGAAAAATGCAAAGAAGCGACTTGATCGAAACCCGCGTCGCAGTGGCCGAAAAATGGCTCGTGAGCTGAACATATCGCCATATTCCTCGGCGTAAAGCCATTGAAATTCCAAAAAGGGCAAGAACATACACCGTTACAGAAAGGAAATAGACCCAAAAGAGCTAAAGAGTTGCTTCTCTTGGCCGAAAGTGGTGAACTGCCGATTTTCGATTTTCTCCGATGAGAAAACATTCGTTGTTCAGCAGTTTCTAAACAAACAAAATGATCGTGTTTACTTGCCATAGAGGTCAGCTGAAAATGTGACCTTCGGTTGGCCACCAGAACTCAAGCGCCGGCCATGGTGTTGGTGATGTGGGCCGCCATAACAGCCGATGGTCGCTCTCCGCTCAGAATAAATGCTGAATATTATCGCGAAAATATTCTGGAGAGTGTAATAAAGCCTTGGGCATGCAAACATTTGGCCGCAGACCTTGGACATTCCAACAGGACTCAGCACCATCGCACTCAGAATGCGCCACCCAAGAATGGTTACAAAATGAGGTTCTTCCTCGCTTCATTTCCTGCCCACAATGGCCATCAAAATCTCCGGATGACAATCCGTTGGACTATTGTGTCTGTAGTATTTTGGAAAGCAAGGTTGGCACTAAAAAATACCAAAGTGTCGATCACTTCAAGCAAGAGCTTCGCCGGAAATGGGCATAAATACCGCAGAGCAACATTCGGGCAGCGTGTGACGATTTCATTGGCTATTTGAAGGCCATAATTCGTGCCAAAGGTGACCAATTCGAACAAATCTAAAGTTATTCTAAACACGCTACACATGCCTTCAATGAAAGTAATTCTCTCTGCACTTTCAATGAAAACAATTGATAAACAATGTAATTAGAAATTTAAAAAATGGGAGGACCTAAAAGCGTGACTCTCTGACCGGCCCATTTTACATTTGTTTACGTTACGGCTATATTTCCGTCTAATTTTTCAAAAGTTATTACAATTTTTTAATAGAAACCTCATAGGAATGCTTTTTTAGATTTCTCTTAAATAGTTTCTTGTACTCTTTTTGCTCAGTGCTGATGATAACCAAAGCTCATCACTGAATTAATATGTTTTATATGCCTCCTTATTAATTTCTTGTACTCTTTTTTGCTGGAATCTCTCTTTATTTTCTCTGTTAATAATATCAACGGTGCTCAAAACCGTGTTCTAGAACATGAACCGAAAAAAGAGATAATTTAAGAGAAAATTAAAATTCAGTTTTTCTTTATATTTTACGGTTCTATTAAATTGTTTTTAGACGCGAAATTAATTTATAAAGTAAATGGATAAATAATATTTGTATAAATAATGACTTAACACTGTTTTGTTCTTGATTTAAATAAGCAAAGAGAAATTTGACTGAAAAGAGATATTTCTTCTTGAGCACCGCTGATAACATTGATGTAAGCAGCGCTGCACAAGAAAAAATATCTCTTTCCAGTCAAATTTCTCTTTGCTTATTTAAATCAAGAAGAAAAGAGTGTTAAGTCATTATTTATACAATTATTTTTATCCATTTGGTTTATAAATTATTTAGGCAAATATTCATGTTTAAAGACAATTAAATGGAATCGTAAAATATAAAGAAAAACGGAATTTTAATTTTCTCTTAAATTATCTCTTTTTTCGGCTCATGTTTTAGAACACGGTTTTGAGCAGGGCTGCTAAATAAATATATTTTACATGCCTCGTAGTTAATTTCTTGTACTCTTTTTTGCTCGAATCTCTCTTTATTTTCTCTGACATAACATATATCTCTTAAATATTTAAAAAAAAGGTTTTTTTGGTATGTTTGCCTTATTTATTTTATGATTAGACATCATAAACTAATAAAATATTGTACAACTTGAATTTTATTACAAAAATTAATGGGAAAATCTAAAATAGAAACCATTGTTGAAAATTGGTCATATATGCCTGTTTTTTTGATGTTTTAGTGATGTCAGAGAATAAGAGACAAGTGCATTAATGTCCATCTATGACGTGAAGCTTTTTACTATGTTATTTAATATTATTGTATTGTATTGTTTTTTTTTTTTTTTTTTTTTTTTGCAAAATGGTCAGGCTTTATCCCTTTATTGTTGTTTTTATAAAAACAACGTTTGTTTATTAGTGGAGAAAGATGGTAATGTTTACCAGGGGCCTTTTGAGACCTCTCTTAAATCATTTGTTGTACTCTTTTTAATGTTTTCACGCCTAATATTGCTAGTTTCCTTTTGAAAATAAAATTGTACAATTGATAACTGACCGACCTCACTCTCAAATACCTTACCATACCTCACCAAGACTATTTCTTCTAGTCTTTTGGCTACGTGCACGTATTTCAATTATTTTCCTATTAAGGAAAAATTGTTTACAAATTGAATAGACTGGTTTTCTATTTTTGTTTCTGTTTTGTTTGCCATTGTCGTTAGCATTTCAATGACATTTGCATTTGTAATTAGTGAAAATAGTTAAACACACACTTTTGCCTTAGGCATACAAGTACATACATATGTACATACATTGCAGAAGAGTAGTCGCTGTAGACAATTTAAATGTCATTCTTAAGACAAGGTGAAACTACGATGTGAAGCATGCCAAGAAAAAATAGTGTAGAAATCATTACTAGCCAGAATAGGAAATTGCACGTTTGTTTTGAAAAAATGAAATTGACAATGAATGTGACGAGTTTGAAAGAGAATTTAATAGGCTTTTTGGGTTGTTGGGTAGTTGACAATTGGATGTTGTTACTCTTCCAATTTCAAATACCCACAGCCAAAGAGAGGGATTGCCTAATTTTACAGAAACAATTTTAAGGGACTTGGACAAATTAATTCAAATTAAAATTAGAAAAATATCAACTTTTTAAATTTGAAAAATTAAAAAAAAATATATATTCCAAAAAGTTAAAAAATTCATCCAAAATTGCATTTTTATAGGCCTATATTAGGATATCTATTCCGAATAAGGCAAACAACCTGTGGCTCTATTTTATCGAAGAAATAGAAATAATATTTTGTTTTTTTTTTTTTTTTTTTTTTTTATTTTGACCGATTCCTCGCCAATATATTTTTAAGAGCAAGAGCAGAATAGGATCTAAATTTTTGTATGCTTAGTTTTTTTTGGCTACAGGTATTTTATTTATATTTAATTTCACTTTATTTCTAACTTCATAATATCGAAACAAATTCCCCCTTTCATTTAAAATGTATTATAAAAAATATTCTTTAACATAAATACTTACGGTTGGCACATTTGGCAGGGTTGGGCAGTGACAAAAATCTGCCTGGTTTTGTGGAGGTGGTGGTGGTACCTCTGGCTTGACTAATGGCAGGTTCAGCATAGGATGCTGCCACACAGAATGCAGCTAATACCAAGGTGACTTTCATCTGCAAAGGAGAGAAAAAAAAAAACAAAAAATTAATATCAAAGTATTAATTAGATATTCACATTAACTTCAATTCACGCAAACAACAACAACAACACTTTGAAAAATATGTACGAAAATTAAATATTGGAAAACCCGGCTTTTGAATACCCAATGCACTACTCAATGCAGTAATTCCTTTCGAAGACAAAATATAACATTTGTGCCTTAAGTCTTTTAGTGTTTGGCTCTCTTATAAATCTCTAGAATTTCTTTTATTTAAAATGAATGAAAACAGAGAGAGATCTAGAAATGTTATTCCCATTGATATATCGATTCCAATATTTTTTTTATCTCAGCCACTTTCATCTCGTTTTTATGCCTCTCCAATGGAGAGTGCAAATAAACATAAGGTGCTGTTTCTTAAGTCTTGTATTATTATGAAGTGAACATTTTCAGAAATTAAACTCCTGTAATGGGAACAAAATAGAAATAAGGAGAGAGATGTAGCTAGAAATGTAGTTGAAGAGCAGCGGTGCTCAAGAAGAAATACCTCTTTTCAGTCAAATGTCTCTTTGCTTATTTAAATCAAGAACAAAACAGTGTTAAGTCATTATTTATAGAAATATTTTTTATCCATTTGCTTTATAAATTATTTTGGCAAGCATTCGTGTTCAAAAACAATTAAATAGAACCGTAAAATATAAAGAAAAACAGAATTTTAATTTTCTCTCAAATTATATCTTTTTTCTCTTCATGTTCTAGAACACGGTTTTGAGCACCGCTGTTGAAGAGAGGCCTAGCATAATATTTACTCCACAGCTGCACAAGAACAAGAGCTCTCTCTCTCTCTTCAGTCTAATTTCTCTTAGTTCTTTTAAATATCTCTTCTATAACTTTAAAAATTGTCATATATTGTATATTGTGAATAACAGTTGTCAAACAAGTATGAGAGAGTATTAATTAGAGAGTAGTGTCGTCTTATCACAGATCGAGGCTGCTCAAAACCAAGAGCTCTATCGTCAGTCTTATTTCTCTTAGTTATTTTAAAATCATCAACAAACCAAGTCTGAATGGAAACGGACGTTATTTTCGCGTTTTGTGAGCTGCATGGCTACTCAAAATTTTGACCCTTTGTGGGCGAGGTGCCATCTTCACGCCAGACCTTAGGTTAATAAAAAAATTATGAAGTGTGTAATTTGAAGAGAACCGGATGCTTATTTTGGATTTTATGAAACGTTTTGTTTGTTCAAAATGTTGACCCTTTGTGGAGGAGGTACCGGAAGGAATAGCTCGATCTTTATAACAGATCTTGTGTTCATAGAAATATTGAGATGTGCCAAGTCTGAATGGAATCGAATGTTAATTCCGTGTTTTATGAGCTTCATGAATTTTCAAAATTTTGAACCTTTTGTGTGGGAGGTACCAGAAGGAGTGGACCAATATTTTCCATTTTCACGCCAGACCTTGGAGTAAGGAATATATTGTGATTTGTGTAATTTAAAGACAATCGGAATCTTACATCACATTTTAAAAGAGTTATAATTATTCAAAATTTTGTCCCTTTGTAGGGGGGGGGGGGGGGGTACTTGATGGAATGGAATGGAATTGTATATTTTCGCACCTGATGCAAATTTTGGGATTTGCAAGGTAAGAGCAAAATCGGATTATATTTTCTCTTTCTGTGCAGTAAATTATTTTCTTTGAAAATATTGACATTTTGTGTGAGAGGTACCAGAAGGAGTGGACCTATATTGCCCATCTCTGAACTAGATTTAAGTTTGACAATAATATTACGGTGTACCAAGGTTGGGTCAGATTGAATACTCCATTCGAGAGTTATCGTGCTCATCAGCCAGCCAGACAGACGGACGGACATCGAAATGGATTTGGTCCAAAGAGATCTAGGGTCTAAAACCGTTATTTCGTTATTTATTTATCGAGATTATCTCATTTTTTTTTTCATTTTTCTGAACGCCTAGAGCAGCGGTACTCAAGAAAAAATATCTCTTTACAGTCAAATTTCTCTTTGCTTATTTAAATCAAGAACAAAACAGTGTTAAGTCATTATTTATAGAAATATTTTTTATCCATTTGCTTTATTAATTATTTTGGCAAACATTCGTGTTTAAAAACAATTAAATAGAACCGTAAGAAAAACAGAATTTTATTTTTCTCTTAAATTGTCTCTTTTTTCGGTTCATGTTCTAGAACACGGTTTTGAGCAGGGCTGGCCTAGAGTTTATTTCATTTCTTTAAGATAAGATGGGTAAAATAAGAGAGGGAGAGAGAGAAATACATTGAAATTGAATGCATATAGACATATCATCTCAGAGCATATTTCTATCTCCAGGAACTTAGAGTGTTTGTTTCTTAAGAAGTTTGTTAGAATAAGATTTTATCTATTATAGAGAGGGAGATAGAGAGAAATCAATAAAAATCAGAGTTAGAGGAAATTTCCCATTTCCATTAAAAATTCAAATTTTCTTCAAAAAATTATATTTTTGATAATACATTCAGCAATGCCACTCGATTTTTATTCCATAAAAAAGGCCGGATTTCTTTATCTCTGCAATAAATCTCAGTGTAACTCAGCCACTAAATATGCAAATTTGGGATGGGAATTTTTTGGGTTGCTTCTTCATTTTACTTGTTAACAAGAAAATAACCTCGCCAATCATTTTAATAATCAGTTTATGAAGGTGAAGCATCTATGAAAAAAAACTACACCACCAAACCAAAAATCTGGTAAAGAGGTGCTAATAAAAACCGGCAATAACAAAAACTCAGTCATATTTCCGTTTCAAATTAGTTTTTGGGGTTTTCTTTCAATGCCTGGTCAAAGCACCTGTTGCTGATGAGATAATAGAAATGATAAACGATGTTGATGAATAGAAAAAACGAACTAAGCTTGTCGTAGGGCATGGTTGGCTTCTTTGTTTGTTTTTTCAAAGCCCAATGCCGGCCACAGCAAACATGCAGGCTGGCAGGCAAATCAAAGCTCTATTAAAAATGCAATGTATGCGTGTTCCATCGAAGTTTACGCATTGGAATTAACAACATCATCGTCATTCACAAGGCACCATCACCATCATCATCGGCAGCAGAAGTAGTATTATCATCATTGCTTTTGGCCTTATTGTAAAAGTTAACGTTTGGCTACTGCTGCTGCTGCCGCCGTCGTTGCTGCTGCTGCTTCTTCTTCTTCTTGATCATCTTTTTTCCATTAAATACTAATAGCATTTGTAGGGGTTTTTGTGTCAAGGATGTTTTTATAACCGGTTAAGTGTTTTGTTATTTACAATATTGGCAACAGTAACCAGACAGACGGATTTGTTGCTGCTGTTATTGGAGGAGAAACAGCAGCAACGGCCAGAGAAGAAGCTCCAGTGGCGCTTCTTTGGCTATTGGAAGGCAAATTACATTACACGCTTAACCGGCAAGAAGAGGCTCTGGCACCAATACTGTTTCTTGATAATGTCGGTTTTTTTTTTGCTTGTCGACTTTTTTTTTGTTTTGTTTTTGGTATGCCATTCATGTTTAACCTCTACTTGGACACATTGGTCGGTCTGTCCACATACTGGGCCCATCGATTGACAGCAATGGTCGTCGGCCTTTTGTATCACATTATTTGCTGTGGCCATGTGTGTATGGCTGAAGAATTTTAATTTCAAGTTTTTTTTGCTGTTGTTGCTGCTATTACAAGGTGGACAATCCAATTGGATTTTGACAAGACTGTGACACCCAAAGTGACCTCTAAAATTTTATTTTAATATATTCATGCGTTGAGGAAGAGCAGTTACCGAGGGAGGGGTGGGGGTTAACAAACGACATTATAAATGTCATGTAATTGTATCGTTGATCAAAGTTTAACGTTAAACGTATGTGATCAGGACCAGATCAGCCGGTAAGCTAGGCCCATCAAGTTGTGGATGTGTAAGTACCGCATAAATTTAACAGGCCTTAATGTAATTCAGCGTAACGTCAGAAGGGCATATGGAAATTATTTATTGGGAATTTTTTGGAATATGAAATTTTTATATATTTTTGAAGGGGTTATGGAAAATTTTGTGGGATATTTTGGACATAAAATATAAAATATTTTTAAAAAGTGCATAAGTATCCTACACACAAATATATTTTTGGAAGAGTAAGAGAACTAGTGAGAGAGGTGGCAAAAAATTGTCTATTTCAGTAAACCGCAAGCAGTATTGTTTCTTAAGTCTTTTGATAAGAGGACAAACATTTTAAATGCAGAGAGAGGGAGAGAAGAAAAAATGTAGCGGACCAAGAGAGCTATCTTTAAATATTATTCGCATTGACTTGCCAATTATCATCATAACCAGGATGTGCTTTCTTCTTAGATCATTTGTTAGAACAGAAAACTCTCATAAATAGTCTCTATTGGAGATGTAAAAAAACACATTACCTACTAAAATCTCCTAAAAGGAGGCAGAGAAGTGGTATTCTTAAATTCAGAATCTAAATCAGAGCTGTTCAAAAACAAGAGCTCCCTCATTTATTATAAAATTTAAGAGAAATTAGACTGGCGGGAGAGCTCTTTGGTCATTAGAAATTTTCAGTGCTTTTTTCCCAAGTCTTTGGTTTGTAGATATTCAATATTTTAGTGGAAATAAGATGAGAGTTATCTTACAGTAAGAGAAAGAAAGAGGGAGAGACACATGAGGACCAAACTCTAACTGAGAAGTCATTTCGCATAGTCATTGGTCTTAAAGGAAAGTAAATCAATTTAAATGGTAGGAGAAATTGAGAGAGAGACTGTTTTATCAGCGGTGCTCAAGAAAAAATACCTCTTTTCAGTCAAATTTCTCTTTTCTTATTTAAATCAAGAACAAAACAGTGTTAAGTCATTATTTATAAAAATATTATTTATCCATTTGCTTTATAAATTAATTTGGCAAACATTCGTGTCTAAAAACAATTTAATAGAACCGTAAAATATAAAGAAAAACAGAATTTTAATGTTCTCTTTTTCTCTCTTTTTTCGGATCGTGTTCTAGA